TTTGTCTTCAGACAAAATACAGTACACTATACATTTAAAATGATCTTATTTTCAATTTAAAGCTGGTATTTGACAATGAAACATTTTAATCTGTTGACACTCGCAGTGATTTTGTAGTATCTTTTACATGACTACTTTCAACTAGTCCCAGACTCATTCATTAGAGTTGTTATTTTCCAGTCAATATTAGATTCTTTAAAAAGCCGAGAGTGAGTCTTGGCTCATTTGCTTGCCTGTTAATTACTAGCTCAGTACCCGACCACTCCTACGTGTACGGGGATGGCAAATAAGTATAAAATGCTTATTAAAATTATACTCGATCTTTGCTTTTGCAATGTGAGAAGACACAGTTTGAGAAGATTTGCTTCCTCGAATTTCGCTACGTATGCTATAGTATTACACATCTACTATAGCCACAATGTTCTACAATTTCACCCACACAATAGAGAAAGATAGATTATTAATTTTTTTCAAAATATCACAAATTATTCATAAAGTTTAAAAAAACCTAACTTAACTGTAAACAATCCTACTTTGACAGTTCTCGTTGCGTATCACATATTTTGTTGCTGCTTGGATCAAATTAGCTTTTGCTTATCATAGAACCAACTTTTCAAGTTGAAACAGCTGGCTAAACTCTTCAATTCCCTTTAAATATGAATTCTCATAAGGTTAACATGGGGCAGAGCCACTGGGGCGGAGCCCGATAGGATTTTTGAGATAAGAATATGTCTATATGTTCCAATCCAACCAGTATTTTTCGCGTTTACTTGTAACAAACATACATACATACATCCAAACTTTCTCATTTATATTAGTAGTAGGATTGACAACATTTACTAAATTATTAAATTCGTACACTCGTTGATTATGAATTGTCTATCATCCGACGGGGCACCGAACTCAAGTTAGCACGACATGGTGTTCACGTAAACATCGACAACGTACTGTGTTTGACGACTACGCTAGCGCTACTAACATGTATCACCCTAACTAAGGCTCGCAGCAGTTCGTCTAGTCACCACTAGGTGTCTCTAAGCCTAAATCTAGAGATGTGTATTTATTAATTAATAATTTTAAATTATCAAGGTACAAAAAAACTACTTTAACTTTAGTTGTATTAAAGTACCATTCATTAATAATAAACTAATGGAAGGTTTTGCGATTCAAAGTCGAGGTTGTTTACTATGAGTAGTCTGTATCCGTTGATACTCGCAGTGATTTTTGGGTAGCTTTATGACTACACCTGTTTAAGGCAACTCTATTAGTACTCCACTCAGTTGATACCACCAGATATAAACTTAAACATTATTTTAAAAGCCGCGATTTGTGTCTCTTACCTGAGACCGATGATTGGCTTATTATAGTTCGGCCGCTTAGTAAACGACCTACGCGCTGGCGCTAATGCTAAACCGATGCTGGAGTCGGGCGCTTTCTAAGCTTTCGAACTATAGTTTATCATTCTGCTAACACAGATATTTGGGCTGATCGTGAGATGGTTGACCCACTAACCCCCCCCCCCCCCCAACTCAACCCATGGGGGAGTCCCCTATGTTTTGAACTTTTGAGACTGGATGTAGTTTGTGTTAATTAATTAAGTGAAATTTACTTATCCGACCGGAATTAAGTGTTACTGAAAATTTTATGCTACTAAGCATAGATGATTCGAGTAAAAACCATCATATTGTTTTATAACATCTAGTACAAACATATTATTATCATATGATAATTCGCGATTCGCAAACCAATATGATGAATAAATGAATCTCTATTTCTCTTGTACCAACACAGTAGACATTCATAATAATCATTAATTCAGGTCGATTTAGAAAATTTACCATAAAAGTTATAAGCTATTATCGTGTGTATTATAAGCCATAGACCCGGAACCGATTTACCTTTTCGTTTTTTATGGATAAATAACTTTGTAGAAAACGTAGTTTTCGTTCATACTAACCTTTAAAAGGGTAATTCTGGCCCTTTTAAAAAGCAAACTTTACCTATAGGGTATAAGCCATTTCCGTATATTTTATGGTAAGACCTAGACCCGGGATTGATTTACTTTTTCGTTTTCAGGTCCCCAGAGGTCGAAAACACCATCATTTTTATTCCGTTTAGATACACGGGAAATGCTGTACAATATTTTAACCGATTTTCCAACGTTTTAAATACTTATTTATGACAGATGACTGGTTAAACACACAAATAATAATAATAGGCTAGAATATTTGAAATGTTTAGCAAACATAAGTATAAACAACAAATATCAATTATGCAACCTATATAGAAAATTACTCTTATGCATTGGAAACATGGTGATATCAGTCAGGAAATAGTTCAACTTTGGAAAATAAAAATGTTATCGTCTAAAACATGATTTTTTAATTGTTGAGTAGGCATACCAAGTAAAAAAAATATTTCTTGTGTTATTTTTTGAATTATTTAAAAGTGAATTGTTTTGGCTATGTTTAGACAACAAAAACATCTCTCACACTGCATATTAAAGAAAATACATAACAATTAAAGCAATATTTACATTCAAAGAATTAATTTAATAAGAACGCCTACGCAAAGGAAACGCAATAACAACGTGCTTTTGTAGTTTGGGTAGAGTATTGACTTTCTGCAGCCGTTTAACTGTTTCTAGCGAATAGGGAATAAACTATTACCGTAGGTCTCAAGTTAGTTCCTAGACCCAGGACCGATTTACTTTTTAGTTTTGAGGTTCCCAGAGGCAATAAACATCCTCTGTTCAAATTCATATGGATATATTTTTCATGCAAGAAAATAAAAGGATATTTATATGTGTGTGTCCGTTAGTGAGATAACAGTTATCCGATTTCGATGAAATTATGTACATTTGTTTGAACCTACTGTTGTTCGAACGAGTTCGGGAACCAGCATGATAAAACTATGGGAACAGGAGTTTATGGGGGTTTTGTGGGGGTAAAAATTAGGTAGAAAGAACTTAAAAAGTTTCGTTCCAATATCTCAAGCCGTTTCAATATGGCTGCCATTTAAAATCTTTAATGCCAAATTTAATGAAAACCGTAAATATTAAGAAATTGCTTTCAGATAATAAAGATAGAGTATTTAAATCCAAATCAAATGAGACCTTGTTTGTTAAAATCAGGGGACAAACAACCGAGTTATCAGTTTTTTTGTACATTCGATTACACAATTGTATATGTCTACCATACTATACTGCTCTTTAAAATAACAAATAACAAGGTGAATCCCGTCGAAATCGACGGTTACTCTTGAGTTTTAGGTAAATTTAGCTAACTGCGATGGATAGAGTGAAGTTATTAAAATATTAGTAAAATGATGGGAGGATAAACATAACTATGAGCAAGACATTATGAGTAAGGTTATTATTTTGTACCTTAAAAAACTATCTTAAAAAATGCGTAAGACATAAAGAAATTCAAAAATCATAAACAGACCGACAAACACAAATCTAGGCATTTTATATCCATACTTTTATGGCATTTCATGTTTGCCTTAGCTCTAGGAACAAGTTCACAAAATATGTCCAGAGAATTTTGAAACACCCTGTATGTGAACAACATCTGATCAACATCTGATCTAAATGTCTCCTAGAATATAAAAATTGTTACACTCTTTGATTTTGAATAGTCCATCCATCAACTGTTCTCTATTATTGAGGATTTCCAACATTTTCCAAAACTGTTTATTTTTTTCCAGGACATGTCAATTGACCTTGTGAAGTAAAGTAAATCCATTCGGTAAAAATACAGTCCACTTCTTTCTACAACTAAAACTGTTTCATCCTTTATCTATATTAGACATTAGGATAATTCATTCGAAGATTCAAACTACCAACATTTCATAACAATATTTATACGGGTCTCTTTGCTATACTACAATTTGTATATCATTATTTGTCTAGTTCCTAAGAAATAGTAATAATACTAATAACAAAAACTATCGTCCTTGTAACATTAGACGTAAACACGAATTAATATAGTGTATTATGCTGTATTTATTTTTTTATTTTGAGTTAAGCGATTCATTTGGAGGATTGGGGGTTGTTGTTGTTGATGTTATGAAGAAAAGATACCACGTGATCACCAGGTCACCAGGGATTTAGCAACTTTACCATGAAGGTTTTAAGCCATTATTGTGTGTATTATAAGCTTGCTTATAATACAACTGCACTTGCAGTTCTCAGTGCTTATGTGCACTTGACGAAAGTGAAGCGAAAAGAATTGAAAAAAAATTCAAGAAAAAGTTAACTGCCAAAAAAGCAGCGATCAAACTCTTGGAAAGTAGTGAAAAAGCGGTGTCAAAAATACAACCAAAAAAGAAGAAAACTGTGGCAAAAAAATACAACAAAAGTGCTGTCCCAGCTAAGAAACCAAAAAAATTGTCTTTTAGCCGTAGAATTAAATTTGAAGATTCTTCAAGTGATGACAACATGGATTTGGATGAAAAAGAATTATGTGATAATTATGTGAATATGTGAATTATGTGAATATAACATGTTTTTGAATAAAAAAAAAAACATTTTCCTTAAGGTCATCAATCATACGGGGTAATCCCGCCAACCCATATAATATCTCGTAAACTGTTGGTAAGGGAACTCTGTGACAAGTGCTGCGACCTAGCGGGCATCATCCCGAAGCTGTGTCAGTAGCGTCCATTGCTCTAGTTGAAGCGGTTTGGTGTGTGGAAAAAGTTTAGTTTTGTAGACAAATCTCTTCTAATTTTTCACTACCAGACTTTTCGAGGTATGTGTACATTACATTAATAATAGTCAAGTAAGTTTAGTATGTTTGCAAAGTACGGTTAATTGGCTATCTATTGATATCCTAACTTTTGTTTTTTTCTCATTCGTAGTTGCAATGGGTTACCTTTTTCAGCCATGTTGTCATTTGGGGTAATGACGCCACTACAAGCTGGGGTAATGCCGCCGTTGGCGGCATTACCCCGAGGCTTAGTGGCATGACTCTTATGCGATTTTCATTCGATTTCAGATGCCGCGTGAACGAAAACGGACAACAGACAAAGCTAAATGGACTCAAGGGGAGTTGCAAGCGGCTTTAACAGAAGTTGCTGAAGGGAAATCAGTTAACAGTGTCGCCCTAAAATATCAAATACCTCGATCTACACTTCGAGACAGATTAAAAAACAACAAAACTTCTAGCCCCAGCATGGGTAGACATTCATGTTTCAGCCAGGAACAAGAAGCAGAACTCGCTAAAAGAGTCATTGGATTTGCTAATCTGTTCTATGGAATTACTATTACAGATTTAAGAAGATTAGCTTATGATTTGGCCGAGGAACTACAAATTAAGCACTCGTTCAACCGAGAAAAAAGAATGGCAGGGGAAGACTGGGTATCAGGATTTCGACGTAGAAATCCACAAATTTCACTGCGCAAACCATCAGCAACAAGCATCAGCAGAGTGACAGGGTTTAACAAACAGGAAGTCGACCTATTTTTCAAAAACTTAAACACTGTTATGGATAAATATCACTTTGAACCTTCAAGAATCTACAATATGGATGAGACTGGTATTTCCTCAGTCCAAAAACCAGGCCATATTTTAGGGCCTAAAGGCCAAAAACAGGTTGGAGGAGCGACCAGCTGGGAGAGAGGTCGTAACATTACAGCTGTTTGTGCTATGAGTGCGTCGGGGCAGTATATACCCCCAATGTTTATTTTTCCCAGAAAGAGGATGACGCCCTTACTTGAGAGAGGTGGTCCAGCAGGTGCACTGTATACATGCTCTCACAACGGATGGACAAATGAGGAGCTTTTTCTTGACTGGCTTAAACATTTTAAAAAGTTTGTTAAGCCATCAGAACAGGAGCCAATTCTCCTGGTACTCGACAATCACGGGAGCCACATATCCCTGGATTCATACGAATTTTGTCGCACAAACCACATTCACATGATATCAATCCCACCACACACTTCTCACAAGATTCAACCTCTTGATGTTACATTTTTTGGCCCCCTGAAAAGTTCTTTTAATAGAGAATGTGACAAATTCATGCGATCACATGTCCACAGGAAAATAACACCATACGACATTCCTGAGATTTTCAATGCTGCATATATGACTGTGGCAACTATTGAAAAAGGTGTTTCTGGGTTTGCAAGCACTGGAATTTTCCCAACAAATGCCGACAAATTCAAAGATGAGGACTTTGCACCAGCTCAGTCCATGCAACCTTTGGTGATTGATGAACAAGAGGATGAAGAAGTCAATCGTTCCAGCACAGACAACGTGTCAGCAGATGTTCGTCACGACTTAAATAGCCCTGCATTGAGAACATGCCAACAGAAGACACAAGACACAGCATTGGTAAATGAGGAGCTTCGTGTTAACGCTGCAGATGGACTGCCTGGGGTTCCTGGCTGCTCTGGAACGGGTCATGATGAGAATAGATTTTCTCAAATTTTAGATAAACTGTCACCACTTCCCAAAGCAGCTGTTTACCAAGTTAAGGAAAACTCAAAGAGAAAAGGTCACTCAGCTGTTCTCACTTCAACTCCGATGAAAGCTGTACTTGAAGAAAGTGAAGCGAAAAGAATTGAAAAAAAATTCAAGAAAAAGTTAACTGCCAAAAAAGCAGCGATCAAACTCTTGGAAAGTAGTGAAAAAGCGGTGTCAAAAATACAACCAAAAAAGAAGAAAACTGTGGCAAAAAAATACAACAAAAGTGCTGTCCCAGCTAAGAAACCAAAAAAATTGTCTTTTAGCCGTAGAATTAAATTTGAAGATTCTTCAAGTGATGACAACATGGATTTGGATGAAAAAGAATTATGTGATGATAATGAAGACGACGATGACTTCGACATACGGTCCAAAGATGTTGAGCTCTGCATTGTTTGTGGGGAATTTGGTTTCAATGAACTTTGGTTCAGATGCAAACTGTGTGGGAAATGGGCACACTCCGAATGTAGTGGCGCTGATTCTGCAGACAATTATGTGTGTGATTTTTGCCAGGGTTAAGAACAACCTTCAGATATTTCTTTTGTTAAATGACAGCTATAAAGCCTTTTTTAACTGATTAGGCTAATTGTTTTGTTTAAACTTATTTAAAAAAATCATTAAGCAAGTAGCCTAAGATTTTGTTACTTCACTTAATGAGTAGACTTAAGATTTGTCAATATAGTCAAAACATGTATTGATTATACTATATTCTTTCTCTTAATAAACTTAACAATTGGTATTTCACTTGATCTATTTTTTTATTGCATTTTCTATGATTTTTTGTAGATTTAAAGCAAGTGGCGTCATTACCCCAAGAGCATGGCGGAATTACCCCAGTATATGGGGGAATCCCGCCACTGTGTGGACTTTTGGTAATTAATTGTTTATCGGTTTTAGAGTGAAGTAAAAATTACCAAAAAATTACAATGACTAAACAACTAAATATAGAATGCAATTTAATTATAATTAGCAAAATATAACATGTTTTTGAATATAAAAAAAAACATTTTCCTTAAGGTGGCGCGATTCTCCCGGTCTCCCCGGAGACCGGGGGAATCGCGCCATACGGGGTAATCCCGCCAACCCATATATCTCGTAAACTGTTGGTAAGGGAACTCTGTGACAAGTGCTGCGACCTAGCGGGCATCATCCCGAAGCTGTGTCAGTAGCGTCCATTGCTCTAGTTGAAGCGGTTTGGTGTGTGGAAAAAGTTTAGTTTTGTAGACAAATCTCTTCTAATTTTTCACTACCAGACTTTTCGAGGTATGTGTACATTACATTAATAATAGTCAAGTAAGTTTAGTATGTTTGCAAAGTACGGTTAATTGGCTATCTATTGATATCCTAACTTTTGTTTTTTTCTCATTCGTAGTTGCAATGGGTTACCTTTTTCAGCCATGTTGTCATTTGGGGTAATGACGCCACTACAAGCTGGGGTAATGCCGCCGTTGGCGGCATTACCCCGAGGCTTAGTGGCATGACTCTTATGCGATTTTCATTCGATTTCAGATGCCGCGTGAACGAAAACGGACAACAGACAAAGCTAAATGGACTCAAGGGGAGTTGCAAGCGGCTTTAACAGAAGTTGCTGAAGGGAAATCAGTTAACAGTGTCGCCCTAAAATATCAAATACCTCGATCTACACTTCGAGACAGATTAAAAAACAACAAAACTTCTAGCCCCAGCATGGGTAGACATTCATGTTTCAGCCAGGAACAAGAAGCAGAACTCGCTAAAAGAGTCATTGGATTTGCTAATCTGTTCTATGGAATTACTATTACAGATTTAAGAAGATTAGCTTATGATTTGGCCGAGGAACTACAAATTAAGCACTCGTTCAACCGAGAAAAAAGAATGGCAGGGGAAGACTGGGTATCAGGATTTCGACGTAGAAATCCACAAATTTCACTGCGCAAACCATCAGCAACAAGCATCAGCAGAGTGACAGGGTTTAACAAACAGGAAGTCGACCTATTTTTCAAAAACTTAAACACTGTTATGGATAAATATCACTTTGAACCTTCAAGAATCTACAATATGGATGAGACTGGTATTTCCTCAGTCCAAAAACCAGGCCATATTTTAGGGCCTAAAGGCCAAAAACAGGTTGGAGGAGCGACCAGCTGGGAGAGAGGTCGTAACATTACAGCTGTTTGTGCTATGAGTGCGTCGGGGCAGTATATACCCCCAATGTTTATTTTTCCCAGAAAGAGGATGACGCCCTTACTTGAGAGAGGTGGTCCAGCAGGTGCACTGTATACATGCTCTCACAACGGATGGACAAATGAGGAGCTTTTTCTTGACTGGCTTAAACATTTTAAAAAGTTTGTTAAGCCATCAGAACAGGAGCCAATTCTCCTGGTACTCGACAATCACGGGAGCCACATATCCCTGGATTCATACGAATTTTGTCGCACAAACCACATTCACATGATATCAATCCCACCACACACTTCTCACAAGATTCAACCTCTTGATGTTACATTTTTTGGCCCCCTGAAAAGTTCTTTTAATAGAGAATGTGACAAATTCATGCGATCACATGTCCACAGGAAAATAACACCATACGACATTCCTGAGATTTTCAATGCTGCATATATGACTGTGGCAACTATTGAAAAAGGTGTTTCTGGGTTTGCAAGCACTGGAATTTTCCCAACAAATGCCGACAAATTCAAAGATGAGGACTTTGCACCAGCTCAGTCCATGCAACCTTTGGTGATTGATGAACAAGAGGATGAAGAAGTCAATCGTTCCAGCACAGACAACGTGTCAGCAGATGTTCGTCACGACTTAAATAGCCCTGCATTGAGAACATGCCAACAGAAGACACAAGACACAGCATTGGTAAATGAGGAGCTTCGTGTTAACGCTGCAGATGGACTGCCTGGGGTTCCTGGCTGCTCTGGAACGGGTCATGATGAGAATAGATTTTCTCAAATTTTAGATAAACTGTCACCACTTCCCAAAGCAGCTGTTTACCAAGTTAAGGAAAACTCAAAGAGAAAAGGTCACTCAGCTGTTCTCACTTCAACTCCGATGAAAGCTGTACTTGAAGAAAGTGAAGCGAAAAGAATTGAAAAAAAAATTCAAGAAAAAGTTAACTGCCAAAAAAGCAGCGATCAAACTCTTGGAAAGTAGTGAAAAAGCGGTGTCAAAAATACAACCAAAAAAGAAGAAAACTGTGGCAAAAAAATACAACAAAAGTGCTGTCCCAGCTAAGAAACCAAAAAAATTGTCTTTTAGCCGTAGAATTAAATTTGAAGATTCTTCAAGTGATGACAACATGGATTTGGATGAAAAAGAATTATGTGATGATAATGGAGACGACGATGACTTCGACATACGGTCCAAAGATGTTGAGCTCTGCATTGTTTGTGGGGAATTTGGTTTCAATGAACTTTGGTTCAGATGCAAACTGTGTGGGAAATGGGCACACTCCGAATGTAGTGGCGCTGATTCTGCAGACAATTATGTGTGTGATTTTTGCCAGGGTTAAGAACAACCTTCAGATATTTCTTTTGTTAAATGACAGCTATAAAGCCTTTTTTAACTGATTAGGCTAATTGTTTTGTTTAAACTTATTTAAAAAAATCATTAAGCAAGTAGCCTAAGATTTTGTTACTTCACTTAATGAGTAGACTTAAGATTTGTCAATATAGTCAAAACATGTATTGATTATACTATATTCTTTCTCTTAATAAACTTAACAATTGGTATTTCACTTGATCTATTTTTTTATTGCATTTTCTATGATTTTTTGTAGATTTAAAGCAAGTGGCGTCATTACCCCAAGAGCATGGCGGAATTACCCCAGTATATGGGGGAATCCCGCCACTGTGTGGACTTTTGGTAATTAATTGTTTATCGGTTTTAGAGTGAAGTAAAAATTACCAAAAAATTACAATGACTAAACAACTAAATATAGAATGCAATTTAATTATAATTAGCAAAATATAACATGTTTTTGAATATAAAAAAAAACATTTTCCTTAAGGTGGCGCGATTCCCCCGGTCTCCCCTAATGGAGCAAGTGCCGGATAATAACCTTCGGTACGAGTTATGAACGATACTTTTCATCACGACGCATAAATACACAAACACAGATTATCAGCAGACCACAGTAATATTAAAACTATTTTATTTCTCAATTAATTTGACTGAACATCAAAATAAAATCTTCTAAATGTGATCCTACGTATATTTCTCAATAAATGTTGTTTAAACATGAAAATAAAAGAATAAAACAACTTTTAAAAATACACTAGAGGTCGTCCAGTGGTCGAAACTCGACCAAAATATTTAATGTATACCCCCGCCGCAGCAAACCTGCAGACTAAGCGAATTTCCAATTGCCTGATTGGATTTACACTAAATTGTCTCCTTAAAAATATCGCATTTATTCCCTATTTAAATAGAATCAGTTTAACACATACTTAGGTTTGCTGCAACAGGGGGGTAAAAGTGTTTTTTATGTAAAATGTCAATAGTTAGTAAGAAATAAAAACATTTTCCAAATTTGGGCAAAATATGTTAATAAACAAGCAAACTACAACAGTTTACTTATTCTCCATAAGAATAACATGGGAATTTTAAATTTACAATTTTTTGGAATTTTCTCCGTAACCATTAGGCGCATTATAATGCTTCAATATACTAAATTATTTGTTTTTTTAAGCTCTACAAAATAGTTTAGAAATAATTTGCAAAATTCTATGTTTTTTGGGTCAAAAATGGGAAAAACCCATTTTTACCCCATAAAAGCCCCCATAAACCCCCGTTCCCATGGTCCGATCATGCTGGTTCGCGAACTCGTTCGAATAAACGTAGGTTTACACGTTTGTACCAAATTTCATCAAAATCGGATCATTTTTGCTCGAGTTATCGCGCTAACGGACACATATATATATATATATATATATATATATGAATTTGAACTGATGGTATTTTTGGCCTCTAGGGACCTCAAAACGAAAAAAAAAATTGGTCCCGGGTCCAGGTCTTACCATGAGTACTACGGTAATAGCTTATTCCCTATATGGGAAATTCGCTAACAGACTTCTTTATTTTCATTCCACACTTTGAATAGAACATGTGATTGGAGTTTCTTCCATTTGTTTTGATTTTCTGTTTATATTTCGTTGTTATTTCGTCACCAGCATGGCAACTCATAATATCCATGTTAAATTTTTCAAAATTTTAAATTCATTTTTTGTGCTTATTTTTGAGCCTATTTTAATTTATAAAGGGATTCTGCACACCTACAGGAAAATAGCTTTCTAACAGTATGCGTAGATTTTCCCTACGATGCACACGAGCTGAGAAAAAAGGTTTTAAAGAAACATGCTTGCCTATTAATATATAGACGAGAGGTCGTCCAGTGGTCGAAACTCGACCAAAAATATGTAATGTACTCACTTAACTATTTTCACCCCACACTGTAAATAAAACATGTGATTGGAGTTTCCTCCATTTGTTTTGATTTTCTGTTTATATTTCGTTGTTATTTCGTAACCAGC